CGCACTTTTTAACTCGTAGATGCATTTATCAACATAAACTCGTTAGTCTTTAGATCAATACCATCTTCGTTCCACCCACTCTGAACTCCGTTTTCATCGAGATCGGTGATGAGAGTGAACACGAGTTCCGTTTTATCTTCTTGCGTGAGCGAAGGGATTGCTGACGAAGGAATTGAGTGGAAAATCTCGACTTAAAATTTAAGAATTCTAAAATCATCACTCAATGCACATTGATATACCATTGGGATTATCCAAGAGTCCCTTCAAATTACATGACACAAGTTCGATGTTGGTTTTATCCTCGATTGAAACGTAAGAACTCATGATGCAACGACAAATTTGGACGGATGATGTGATGCTATATATAAGCAACGCAATGGAAAATCGTTCTGCTGTACAATCTACTGTATCATGTGATTCATCCGATTTGAAAAAAAATTTTTTTTTTTTTTTTTTTTATCGAAATCAGAAAAAATTTTTCAAGTTCTCCAAGAAAATAATGATTAGGAAACTTAGATTCTTACTTGTCCCAGAGCCAACCTTGACGTGATATTATTATAAAAGGACTTTATACTTTCAGCATCCCACCGGCGCATTAACGGGAAGAATGAGAATTTATGGGAAAGTCGCGTTTCGCCTTGGAAACGACCTACGTGTTTCTGGTGGTAACGCGAGGAACCAAGTTTGCTCCAACCTTCACCTGAATCCTTCCCAGCTGCAGGGTTTCTTTGCACCAACCTTCACCAATCGTAAACCGTTCGCTACGTGGAAATTTAATGATCGAAGAGATAACAACCGGCTTCCGAGGGATCGACATAGGTCAAGGAGAGGCTTCGATTATGAATTGGACAACGGTCGGTGCAAGTTTAAAGAGAAGGAGGATGTGTCGTACAAAATCTGGCGTGCACAAAAAAATGATGACTATCCTCATGGTGAAAAGTACGAGGAGACCGGCGGAGAAATAAACGATGGCGTGCGGAAAGGATTTTCTAGGTCAATTTACGACTCTGAATCGTTTGAGAAAGAAGCATACGAAAGATATCAGCGGGAGGAGGACATTGAACCGGTCAGTTACA